ACAGAATCTTCGAAGCCTCAATCAGGTATTCTCAATCCTGGTTTTCTAGTATATTCAACTCGCTAAAATAACGTTTATTACCCTGGCGGAGGTGTACTGTAATCGAGGACAAGGGATATGGTTATCTTGGTCAGCGATATCAGGCTAGGAGAATCAAAAACAAGCTTTCTCCTTACGCTCTGCGAAAAGTCCTCGTGGGCTTGAACAGCTGGCCATCCAATGAATAGAAGCCATTCTTCGTTGGCCTCGTCGTCCTTCGTTGAGCGCCGGAAGAAGCACTGGCACCGGCTTTCCTTATGCGGGCTATATGCGGCTATCAGTGCGAGCCCACAGGTAGGGAAACTTGGAGAAATGACAAATTCTGATGGAGCAAGGAAGAGTTAGTTGTCACTGAGCAATGTGGCGATACACTGCCCAGCAGGATCTCACGCTGGAAGGAAATGAGATTCTGGAAGCCGGTAGCTGCCGACAGCCATCCGCCGAGATGTTCGCCTTCTAATCGCCCATGCCGCATAGAGAAAGTGGTATATTTTTTTTCGTGATCTTTTTCGTGATCAGACCTACAAGTTTGCATTTCACTTGGATAACTTGTCCTTGGATATTGTTATGCTCTTCACAGTCCCATTTGCTGGGAACACCGGATGATCGTTGCTCCGACCCGATACTCCCTACCAAGGGTATGTGGCTGGTGTTCCAATCGGGATTTTGGGGTTTGCAAGTCGACACATACATCCGCCTGAAACATACACCCAACTTCGGGAGCGACCCGCATTAGTATCATATCATGACTCGAGTAGGCCAGCAGCAAAGAGTTCTCTCGCTTTCGCCGGCGGAGAACTCTGACACAAGGCTACCCGCAGAAAACTCGGACTGCCTGTAAGACAAGGCTGAGCGAGTGTCCAAGCTCAGTGATATCCACCACCCCACAGAGGGGCGCATGATGTAATGCTGGTCCCTGAACATTTTTACGTGTTCAGCAGTTAAAACCAGCGGTGACACGACAAGCTGAACTCAACATTTCAGTTGCAGCAAACCTTTCATCCCTCGCAAACTGACCTTTGTGATTTATTCGAATCCTTTGGTTACAATGGCACCCCTCAAGCTCAACAGCGAAAACCTCCTGCAGATTTCTGCGGCGGGCGAGGCAAAAATAACCGTCCCAACCTACCAGCGTGGTGATGCTGTCAAAGAGGGTATCGTCCATGTTGGCGTTGGCGGTTTCCACCGAGCTCACCTGGCTGTCTATGTCCACAAATTGATGCAGGATCATGGTGTTACAGACTACGCCATCTGCGGTGTTGGATTGCAGCCCTTCGACGCTGCCATGCGCGATGCCTTGGGATCACAGGATCATCTTTACACAGTTGTTGAGCGTTCCGCCAAGGGAAGCGTTGCCAAGGTCGTCGGCAGCATCAACTCTTACCTCTTCGCCCCCGATGACCGGGAGGCTGTCGTGGCCAAGATGGCACACCCAGATACGCACATTGTGTCGCTTACTATCACCGAGAGTGGCTACTACTACGACGAGCACACGCACGAGCTTCAAAGTGATCATCCCGACATTCAGTTCGATCTTGATCCGGCCAATGAGAAGACACCGCACACCACTTTCGGCTTCCTCTACGCTGCCCTAGCTAGGCGATATCAGCAAGGACTCAAGCCCTTCACCGTCATGTCCTGCGACAACATGCACAACAATGGCTCAATCACACGTTCCATGCTCGAATCGTTCGCACGCCTGCGTAACCCCGAAGTTGCCAAGTGGATTGCCGAACAAGTCGCCTTCCCCAACGCCATGGTCGATCGGATCACACCCCAGACAACAGCTGCTGACAAAACGGCACTCGTAAAAGACTTTGCCATCGAGGATGCGTGGCCAGTCGTCACAGAGCCCTTTATGCAATGGGTCATCGAGGATCATTTCTCCGACGGCCGCCCACCATTCGAAAAGGTTGGTGTTCAGGTAGTCAAAGACCTCCACGCTGTTGAGCAATTCGAGAAACACAAGCTGCGCTTGCTCAATGGCAGCCATTCTGCCCTGGGCTACCCAGGTCAGCTGGCTGGCTTCAAATATGTCCATGAGGTCATAGGGAACCCACTGTTCCATAAGTTTGTATGGCAGATGATGCAGGAGGAGGTCAAGCCACTCTTACCTGAGATTCCTGGTGTGGACATTGATGAGTATTGCAAAACGCTCATTGAGCGATTCTCCAACCCAACAATCATGGACCAGTTGCCCCGCATCTGTCTGAATGCCTCTGGCAAGATCCCAAAGTTCATCATGCCGTCCATTGCTGAAGCAATCTGGGTCACCGGCCCATTCCGGCGCCTGTGCTTCGTCGCTGCCGCTTGGTTCCATTATATCAACGGCGTTGATGACAGCGGCAACACCTTTGAGGTTGATGATCCTATGCGCGAGGAGCTCCAAGCTAAGGCTCGTGCAGGCGGCACCAACCCTGCTGAGCTGCTTAGCATCCCGAATCTGTTTGGTGATGACTTGCGCAGCGACAAGCGTTTCCTTCAGGAGATTACGACAGCTATGGAAGATATTGCCCGGGATGGCATCATGAAAACGCTTCCCAAGTACATTGACTGATTTGGAATAGCAAGGGAAGATGCCAATATACAGAAGAGGTGGGAGTAGGACAACAAAGTGAAATTGAAGTTATTGGGTTGGCTCGAGGTGACTTCTGAAGATGTACCAGGAAGAACAATCTAAGAGACATCATAGACATCTCCGATAGACATAGACCATAGATGGTAGATGCTGGTAGGATAGCAGCTTGAGTATGGAGTTAGGAGTAAGACTTCTAATGATCATCATTCGATACAACTTTGTGGCCAATGGGTAGAACGCTCCACACATACACTCATTCCGTACAAGAAGTCTGCTGTGAGAAAATCTCAAGACTTTCAACCAGATAAACTTTTTCACATATTATCTGACGAACTTAAACACAGTATCTTAATTTTCGTCAAGCATCAATGGATCTTCTCGATATCAATTTATTGTTCCAGTGTAATGGAGCTTAAACGTGCAATAATGCCCAAAGGGTCAAGGCACTGGTCGCACGTGTATTCGAGGTCGACGACTTACTCGTTGCAAGTGTACGCTAACAATCAGTTACACCTCAGCCACGGCCCAGCTTAGTCCGGCAGAGTATCCCCGATAAGCCCCACCCTTAATCAGCGATAAGGGAGGGAAAGAAAAAAAAAATCAAGGGGGCGCTGGCTGGCGGGCGGGCGGCCTGCCACATTCACAGCCCAATCTCTCACCCATATTGCCTGTTGTTTCTTTCTTTCTTTCTTTTTTTTTGCTTGTGAAACCCTCAGCATTCTCGAGCATCCTTCGAAAAAAGGGCTCGCCTGCCCGTCTTCCTCGTTTTTCTTTTTCCTTTTTCCAGGGCATTGCAGATTCCTCGTCTAGTTACGAGTTCTGCTCTTCATGATGCCGCATCCGGTTTCCCCTCCATCGCATGCGCTGCCGACGATGGTCGCAAAGAGCGCCGACCCCTCAGCGCTGCCGCCACCATCGCAGGCTGACATCTCGGCTCTGCTCAACACGATATTCACCGCGCCCACCTCCAACGCCTCGATTGATGCCTCCTACGGCCTATGCGAGATCCTTCTCAACTCTCCCTCTGTCGGCTTCCGTGGCCTCCAGCAATATGGCATCCTCGCCGAGGTCAAGAAGGCCGCAGCAGACAAGAAGAGCGGCCTGAGACGCGAGAGCGCACAGAATCTTTTAGGCGCTCTGTTCGAAAGATTCCCTCCTAAGCAGCCTATCAGCGAGATCTACTTTCTTCTCCAAGACGGCGGCATGTTGGCGTGTGCACTTGACGGTCTCTCCGACAAAGGAACCGTTGTTCGCGACGCCGCCCAGTATGGGCTCGATGCCCTCTTCGCCCACCTCAGCCCCGAAGCGCTGGTTGCCGGTCTTCTGCCTGCCCTGACTGCCTATCTATCCAAACGAACTGGAAAGTGGCAGGGCACTGTTGGCGCATACAAGTTGATGCAGAAGATGGCCGATAAGGCCAAGTTGGAGTTTGGAGGCACCAAGGAGGAGGCCCAAGAGAAGGACTTTCTTCGAGAGGCCATGGGTGCGAAGCTGGCGAGCTTGATTCCTATCGTCGAGGGTGGCATGCACGACCTCAAGTCCGAGGTTGAAAAACAGGCCGTCAAGACAATGGAGTCGCTCACAACTCTACTTTCCAACGACGATGTTGCTCCCCGCATCCCGTTGCTTCTGAATTCGATGCACCATCCTTCCGCCGAGACACTTCAGAAGGCTATCCACGCCCTCTCTCAGACAACCTTTGTTGCCGTTGTCACATCCCCTGTCCTTGCGCTCCTCACACCTTTCCTCGAGCGATCGCTCAACACTCCCTCCACCCCACAGGAGGTGCTCCGCCAGACTGTCGTTATTACCGAGAACTTGACGAAACTTGTGCACGACCCCATCGAGGCCAGAACTTTCTTGCCCAAGTTGCAGCCTGGTGTCAAGAGTGTAGTCAATCGAGCGTCTCTCCCCGAGGTCCGTGAGCTTGCAACCAGAGCGTTGAATGTCATGGACAAGGCCATGGCCACTGACAAGGCTGTTGCCGAGCGCACCACTGCCGATGATGTCGCTAAGATCTTGGATGGCGAAATCAAGAACCACAAGGGACTTGCAGGCGACCTAGAGACATACAAAGTTCTACGCCCGTATATCTGTGAGCAAGTGGCAGAAGATGTCAACCACCGCCACGTCACCAGAATTTCCGGCAGAATAACCCCATACCTCAAGTCCCTCATGCAACAGCCAGACGCCGAGAATGTGGTAGCTGCAGCAGTTCAGAAGCACTACGTTGACGAAGATCACCGCAAGTATGGCGAGCCTGAAAAGGAGGACGATGGCGAGATCGAAATCGTCAATGCTGATTTCTCCCTCGCCTATGGCGGTATGTTGTTGCTGTCTCACACCAATCTGCGGCTCTTGAAAGGTCACCGCTACGGTCTCTGCGGTCGCAATGGTGCAGGAAAGTCCACTCTGATGAAGAGCATTGCTGGAGGCAAATTGGAAGGTTTCCCGCCTCAGGATGTGCTCCGCACCTGCTATGTAGAACACAACCAGGGTGAGGATGCAGATATCAGCATCTTGGAGTTTGTTGCAAAGGACCCAGAGATCGCAAAGGAGGGTAGGGAGCGCATCTCCGAGGTCTTGTCCGAGTTCGGCTTCACAGCTGGACCCGAAGGCAGACAATCCCAACCGGTGGGCTCTCTTTCGGGAGGTTGGAAGATGAAGCTGGCGCTTGCTCGAGCTATGTTGCAAAAGGCCGATGTTCTACTTCTGGACGAACCTACTAACCATCTTGATGTTGCAAATATCAAGTGGCTTGAGAATTACCTCAAGACGCACCCTGACATTACCAGCTTGATCGTGTCTCACGACTCCGGCTTCCTGGATGAAGTCACAACCGACATCTACCACTACGAACCTGGCAAAAAGCTCGGACACTTCAAGGGCAATCTTGCTGCCTTCGTCAACGTCCGCCCGGAGGCCAAGAGCTACTACACGCTGTCCGCTAGCAACGTCCAGTTCAAGTTCCCGCCTCCCGGTATCCTGTCTGGTGTGAAGTCTCAAACTCGAGCCATCATTCGCATGACAAACGTCACCTACCAATATCCCAAGGCGCCTAAGCCGTCACTTTCAGACGTCTCCTGTCAACTTACTCTTTCATCACGTGTTGCCATTATTGGACCCAATGGTGCTGGCAAATCTACTCTCATCAAGCTGCTCACCGGCGAGACGATCCCAAGTCAGGGCAAGGTCGAGAAGCATCCCAATCTGCGTATCGGTTACATCAAGCAACACGCACTTGAGCACGTGGAGATGCATCTCGAGAAGACCCCAAACCAGTACTTGCAATGGAGATATCAACACGGTGACGACCGTGAGGTGTTCCTGAAGCAGACTCGCATTCTGTCTGACAAGGATAGGGAACAGATGGAGGTGACTATTGATATCGGTGATGGCAAGGGCCCCAAACAGATTGAGGCTCTTGTGGGACGACAAAAATACAAGAAGACGTTCCAGTACGAAGTGTAAGTGGTTGCTCTCCTACTTCGACTTGGTTTATTGCTAACAAGTTTCCAGTAAATGGAAGGGCTGGCTGCCCAAGTTCAACACCATGATTTCAAGAGAAACTCTTCTTGACCGGGGTTTCGATAAGCTAATCCAGGAATTCGATGATCACGAGTCGTCCCGTGAAGGTCTTGGTTATCGTGAGCTCCAGCCCTCGGTAATCTCTAAGCATTTTGAGGATCTTGGCCTAGATCCTGAGATTGCCAACCACAATGAAATCGGCAGCTTGTCCGGTGGTCAGAAGGTCAAGGTCGTCATTGCCGGTGCGATGTGGAACAACCCGCATTTGCTTGTGCTTGACGAGCCGACTAACTTCTTGGACCGCGACTCTCTCGGCGGTCTGGCTGTTGCCATCCGCGAGTTCAAGGGTGGTGTAGTCATGATTTCGCATAACGAAGAGTTCGTCGGTGCGCTGGCGTCCGAGCAGTGGCACGTCAACGACGGCCGAGTCACGCATCGCGGCACCGCTGCCATCGCGCTCGACCGTTTCGAGGACTCGCGTCCTGGCTCTGGCCTAACTACACCTGGCGTCGCCAGCCCTGCTGCTAGCAGTGTTGTCTCCAGCGCTGTCAACAGTGGCGTCGAGGACAACTCGGAAATGAAGTTCCGGGCCAAGAAGAAGAAGAAGATGACCAAGAAGGAACTCAAAGAGCGCGAGGTCAGGAGACGGCTACGCCACATCGAATGGCTCAACAGCCCCAAGGGCACGCCGAAGCCGGCCGACACGGATGATGAGGATAACTAGGACTGGGCAAGTGATATCATGACCGTTTTCAATAGAGACTCCTGTTGTCTCCTTTCATTTTACTCCATTGCATTGGAACAAGACTTGACGAATGTGATGCGGATAGATCAGACAGGTGCACCCCAGCAAAATGCATGGTGCTGGTGAGGTGAGAAGGAGACTTTCTGGACCATAGAGGCGTTCACTCATAGACGGATGGGTTGGATAATCTGAATTAGATAGATCAAATTAATGATGATCTCGTTGTTATATGATATGAAGGTTTCGCACCTATTGTATTTCTGTATGTGTATGGCTACTTATAACAGGTAGGTGAACACGCATTGACTGCTGCCGAGCATGTGATCAGCTTTGATATCGGAACAGACCCAATGACACTAGAGCTAACCACGACCATTCGAGAGGCGAACTGAGTATGTTTCAATCTTGATTTGAATTAGAATTTAAATGAATAGTATCTGCTCATCCAAGAGAAGGCAGGCTGTTTGTGATGTATATATGTATGTCCAGGCCTGGCGTCCATCACAATCCGACCAGGTTAAAATCGTTCTCCGTCCGTCCGCCCTTCCTTCCACCCATCCATCCCATCCACATAACTCATTTCTCTCCAATAGAAACTATCCTCAATGAGAATGACTTGAAAGAAAAGGAAGATTGAAAACATTAACCCGTCCACAGCTTAGAACTCCGTTATTTCCCATGTCTATTGTGTAACTCTGAAGCGTTGGAAGAAAGGCCGTGATGGGCCGGAGAGAAAACCCAAGGACACCAATCATCCCGTCTACTATGTTCCCTCCGCCAAGTGTTTCGTTGCCCTTCCAGCCATAGCTAAGCCATCTCTTCCCGAAATAAGGTATACGTGCTCCCCGCAAAAAACACCCGTTGCCGTTGCCAATCTCTTTATAGATGCGGTAATCTTCAAAACTCTTCAAAACCAAAAACAGATAAAGTGGCAGATGCAAAGGAAATAGTCGTATCATCAGATGGAATTATGTATGCATTGGATTTTAGTTATGGATATGCCGCTTGTCGGTTTCTTTTGATCCAATTCGGAAATTGAAAATTTGGTTTTTTTCTTTGAGAAATGCGATTACCATGAGAAGGTCATCAGCGCAGGGTTGAGCACGATGGGGAGCAGCATGTGGGAAGCAGTGACAGTTGCCATGGGCAGGATGGCGACGAAGTCAGTGATGCGCCAGTCGTGAGGGACGAAGGGTGCAACTGCGAGGATGATCATGCCAGCGATGAAGATGGCAGAGAATAGCATGGAGAACTTGAACTGTAAGGTTGTTAGCATGGTAAGTCAATCTCGGACTTGGTGTTGGGGGTGGCGCAAGCCATGAGTCGTGGCTTGTGTGGTGATTGGCCGTGTCTTGGAATGTGCGGCTGAAAACACATTCCAAGATCTTGGGAAACCGCTCACCAGCAGAAACACACTTCTCAAACGACTGAACAAGACAGGGTAAGGGAAATTTGTAAACTAACCTTCTTCAACACCTTTGGCACCTCAATGAAGAAGTTCGAAAACTCGGCTTCCTTGGAAGTGGCACCCCAGGTCATGTCAATCTCGAACATGTGGGCCAGTAGTGCCTGAGAAACGTGGAGGGACAGACCACCCAGGAAGATGGCCAGCATGAAGGTCCACTTGAAGTTCTCGAAGAGGGCATACAGGATGTTTCGCTCGCCCACACGATACCTCATGACGGCAAGGGCGATGTTTCCGAGACCGTTGAAGACAATGATGATGGAGAACCACACCTGCCACGAATCGACGTAGTACTTGTCAAGGTATCCGTTGAACCAGCCCATCAGGAAGTAGTTGACAGTGGTCATGATCCAGGCAGCGCCGATGGCGTAGTAAGTACCGATATAAGAAATGACGGTAACCTTGGACGTGAAGCGGATGTTGGAGAACAGGAAGCGACGGAAGAGAGGGGTGAAGGGCCCCTTGTAGATCCACTTGCGGATGGGGTGGAAGAGAAGCTCGTTACAGCCATAGGCATACTTCTCCCAACGGGCAAGCTCGTCGTACACGGTAAGTGACACACCCTCCTTGAAGCCTTCACCAGCCCAAGCAGCGAGACGGATAATATAGCCACTGCACTGAAGACGAAGCGACATGTCGAAATCTTCAGACACGTGAGACTCTGACCAGAACTTCTCGTACCCATCCTCGTCCTCGTAGCTGACTTGCTGGATAGCAGACCACCGAAGAACGGCGTTGTGACCGACGAACGGGGCAACATCACCGTTGGAGACAGTGTATCGAATGGCAGAGTAGATGAGGTTGGTGAAGAAAGTAATTCCGTTCTCGAAGTAGGTGTGAACGACTTGCATGACACCGGACGAGAATTGCATGATACCGACATCAGGAGACTGCTCCATCTCAGAGACAGCGTCGAGCAAGCAGTCAGCAGGTACACGAGTATCAGAGTCGATGATAAGAATGTAGTCGCCAACACGAATGTTACCATCAGCCCAGGCACGGCCATCCTCCTCGAGAACCTCCTTGAGAGCACGCTCGTAGGCCTGAGCCTCGTCATGCTGGCTCCAGTCAGGGGTACGGTTGATCAGGGCCAGCTTGTCCTCGACCTTGCACGAGATCATGAGAGCGAAGTTCATGTTGGAAGCCTTCTTGAACTTGCCTCGGCGCAGGAAACCGTTCTCTCCGTGCTTGGGCCGAGCAACCCAGCCGATAGAGTGGTCAGCATAGAACTCGATACGAGCGCGGCGTTCTTCCTCAGAGATGAGCTGCAGACCGTCATCGTTGACGAACATGTTGGCAGAGCCACCCTGGAGTTCATAGGTAGACATGGCCTGCTTGATGGACTTGACAGTGGGTGCGATGACACCGCCCAGACCCTCCTTGTAGACAGGGCATTGCACGGTAACGTGAGGGAGGTGAGCAGTCTGCAGTCTCGGGGGCGTCTTGGCGGAGTAGAACTTGGAGTTGATCGTGAGCTGGCGAATGGGACCGAAGATCTGAGCCAAGCAACCAACGATGACCTGAGCGAAGAAGAGCGTGAAGAAGATCTGGACGGGGAATAGGGCAACTAGAGCCAGGCGGATGAAGTCGTTGTCAACCGAGACCTCAATGGCCAGCTGACGGAAGGCAGCTCCCAGGGACACAGTAACGAGCGCCAAGGTAATGCTGACGAGAACAGTGTTCTGGAGATGGACAGGTCGCTTCTCCGGCTTGATCTCACCGCTCTCCTCATCAATCTCAACCTCGCCCACTGTGGCACCACCCTTCTCATCGTCATCTTCATCGTTTCCAGCCCTCCAGACCAGCTCCATGAGCTCGGACTCAATGGCTTTTGCTCGCTGAACCAAGTGGAGAGCGTCATCGTCCCAGACGACCAGAAGGCCCTCAGAGGCGACGAAAGCTGCGAATTGGTGCTTCCTGGCGCGAGGCAGATCATCAATAGTGGGGAGAATCTGCACTCGGAGGCCGTTCATCAGGGGTACATCAACTGCTTCAGGAGACCACTGAAGGAAAGTCTTGATGACTCTGGAGTTCACAGTCATGGCGCACTGCAACACTGTAAGTATGCGTAAGTCTCGAATTCTGGCGACAAGTGTCGCTTACCTGAACGTTCAATGCGGCACAAGCCAAAGCGAACGGGGAGTTGCCCAATTGTGGCGGGCAAGCCATGTATTGGCCTCGCGACTTGCGGAGGAGGACACCCTCAATCTCACCACTACCATCAGACACCCAAAGGTGAGAGCACTGTTGCTGGTACAGGTAGTTTACCATGACCTCGTGCTTGATGTCGTCCAGGAACATGGAGCTGCCATTGCTCCTGACTGACCGGCCAGAGAGACTCTGCGGCCGTGAGTTGCCAAAGCGCGGTGTGGGCGGGTGCAGCTCGAGGTCATTCGCGCTGGTGCGGTCTGAAGGCGGCTTCTCTGACAAGGCGCTCTGGTTCCTTGGGGCCACAGCTTTGCCGGCATCGGCAGATGCGGCAGGCTTCTCGGCCTTGAAATAACTTCCAATGCCCATGTTTACTTTACGTCTGGTTTCCCACTCTCCTAAAGTCCAAAGATGGTTCTTGGTCCAGTCTCTTATCAACCCAAAGCTAGGCAGCGGGGTGATGGAGATGTGTGGCACAAGGTAGACCTAATGGGTAATATCTCGGTCAGTGATCGTTACGAGTTGCACCACCAGAGGGAGTATGGACCCTGCCCAAGGAATTGGGAAGGGTATGTCTCGGCTGGTGTCTGCGGCTGTGCCCGATGTCGTACCTTATGGGGTCACACAGGACTGACTCAAAAAGAAGCTGTCGTGCAAGGTTCGGGATCAGCCTAGGATCGCGAACTCTGGGGCAGTACGTCTCGTATGACAGCGGACAGCAGCGTGGGATGTACGATGCTACCGTGTAAGGCGTTTGTTGCGGTGAACGAGTTGTCGGCTTGGTATAGCGAATGGACAGTCCTCAACTGGGAGAACAGAGAGGCAACTGGCTGGTCTGCCCGTCGGTGAGGGAAGACGCAGATGTCGACTTGGATCGCGGCGAGGAGTCGAAGACGAAGACGAAGGCAGCAGGTCGAGGTGATGTCGAACCTGACTGTAGAAGTCTGTCGTCTAGCTCCGCGAACAGGTCAAGTCGGCTTGCCTTGTAAGAAGAAGGGTTGAACGAAGGTTGAAAGGTTGCAATAACAACTTTCCCAAGAGGAACCGGGAAGAAGAAGAGAAGACAAGGAGGGGCGAGAGAAGAAGGATACGACGGAGAGCGAGCAGGGGTGCAATTGGCCTTTGGGCCTGGCCGCGATAGTGTGCATCCCAGCTCGCTCGCTCGCTCGCTCGTGCTCGTGGGCTTAATGGACAGACATGGGTGGTCTCTTGGTGTGGACATGGATATCGCGGCAGGGGTGCCGGGGATGAAGGTGATGGATGGGGCCGGGCGTGTAAGTGACAGGGGGGGAGGCAGACCGGAAGAGAGAGAGAGAGAGAGAGGTACTTGTTGGCAAGTACGTACCTCCGCAGTACCTCGATGGAGATGGGTACGGCCGAGGCACACACCTGGGCGACTTCGCGAAGAGTTTTCGATGGATGGACAAACAGCAAACAGCAGCATCAACTAAGACGCCTCCACTTGACTCGCCTCGCCTTAGGCTTCCAGCCCGCCGCCGTGATAGTGGGACTTCCCGATTATCAAAGATATCGACGGCGGCTCGATTCAGCTGGGAGCAGGCTTGTTCGCAACCATGCTGTCTCAGGCGATAGCTCGGGAGACGGCTTGCCCGCGGGCTTGTGCCGAGAGAGATATGGACATCGACACTTGACGTGATCACCATGGGACTACTACTACGCAGTAGATAGTCCCATACTGTGCCTGGGCGCAGAGGAGGCTATTGGAGTCGGGCCTCAGCTCTGGCAGTGCCTGAGATCCAGTGGACTGTTCTACACCGTGTTCGAGCTTCTAGCCTCTGCCGATCACCACGTCGACACCGAAGCCGTCTGCTCACAGACTCATAGATTCCCGTGGCAGCCAAGATCTCCGGGGCGTCCAGACAAAGCAGCTCTTTGTTTGCTTCAGACGCAGGGCGTCACGACGAGCTGGAAGCGTGCCTGGGCTCGAAGGAGGCGCAGTGGGTTCTGGATGAATCAATCAAGCAAAGTGCTGGGTGTTGTAAAACAATGGCTCGGAGACCCGGCGCCAAAAATGGGCATTGGTGGCTGACGGGCTAGCGGTTACGGGAAATTATGCTGGCTGAATTTAGCGATTCCGCCCCTCCCAGAGCTGGCCCGGTGTAAATGAAAGCACAGATATCCTGCCCAGCGAGCCACCTATTATTGCTTCTCTCAGATGCACGTTGTGGCTGACAGCTTTGCTGTGAATCTGTATCTGTATCTGTAATTGTCATGGATGACTTCAAATCCTTTCTTTTGCGGCGGTAGCAAAACACTCGCTCCTGAGTAGCTTTGCCGCCGTTCTCATCTGATTGCTTCTCTTTCTCCCGTCGCCTCCTCCTTGCCTCGAAGTGCACGAGAGGGAACTTCAGTGAGCTGGAAGGAGAAAGGTCTTGTCCCAATCATCGTTAGGAGGGTTTCCCCTCTTCCCGAAGAGCCCTGACGCGATAAAAAGGTGCGAGAAAAGGCCGCCGATTCCAGTCCAGGAGACACAGGAGACACCAGGCGTTAGTTGGTGGTTTAAGGTACGTAGGTACAAAGCCCAAGTACCTTCCAAGGTTCTCAACGGGGACGCGGAGTTTTTTGGGCAACGGTCAGGAACCAGGAGCCACACTTAGCAGACTATTGGCATGGGACCCATGCTCGCTCCCGCGCACGCTAAGCTGCCGTAACTTAAAGACTTAGTCAAATAGTCGGTACGCTAGTGATGCCTGGTACCTTCGCTCTTTCCTATTTTTTGTGCTCGGTGCTGGCCCCATGCTGGCCCCATGCTGGCCCCACACCAGCACCAGTGACGAGAGAAACAGAAGAGAAAGAGCGCGCTCCAAAATGGCAGCCACCACCCAGAACAACTGGATGCACGCGTGCACTGTGTCCGTCAACCTCCATCACAGTGTTTAGGAGCTTTCTTTCTTTCTTATCTTGCTTATTACAGGGAAGCTCGCTGTCGGCTGTCACCCTACACCGCTGGTAGCCCCGGTGTTGATATCACTGTGGCGATTTCCAGCATTCTCCTTGAGGACTGCACCCCAGCAGAGGACGATCTATCTCTCCTCGCTTGCCGGTTCCACGAAAGCATCTGCTCCCGCGTAACAGTATCCATTGGCATTGAGGCTGGCGTCCTCTGATCCTCAGCCTTCGGAGCAGGCAAATAGAGCTTGGATATACTGGGCGTACTGGTGGGATGTGGTTGGAGGATTCCTGGGAGGGAGGAGGGCAACTAACAGCCCCCCTAACTTGTCTGTTTAGCACCCCATCAGACCTGTTAATTACAGCAGCTGCGGCCCCTATAACGCTAACCCGACCCTTAATGTAGCACCACCACCACCACCTTCCCCCAACTTGCACTTGACCGACATGATGTTAAATTGACTGCAGCCCAGCATCCATATTGCTGATAAGTGCCCTGCCACAGGCCTGCTGATTGATGACATGGCAATATACAGTCATGCAGTTAGTTTATGTGTGCTTGATAGGAGAGGCGAGGAGATCACGAGATGGCTTGTGAATTGATCGTGCTTCCGGGCTGGGCAACTCCCAAGTGTCCCTCCCGCCCCAACGAGTTGTTGTCCGTCTCTCTACCAACGAGCCCAAATCTCGAGGCACAGTGGACTGTAGTGTAGCATTGAAAACAAGGACTGGACGACTGCCTGTAAGCAAAGTCCATTAATCGTTCCGGCAGCCGAGCCAAGCCTAAGAGCGCCTTGGATGCATTTCCTCTAACAATCCATGTCCCTGGCGCTCATTTGCCAGGGGCTAGCGATACGAAAGAGGGTGCAAGGAATAAGAATATTCAAGAATAATAAGAATTAAATTCAGTAAAGTTTTATTTTCTGATTTTCGCTGGGATTGCTAACCCCTGTCACAAGGCGACAGGGGTAGGTGTACATGGCCTTCCGCAACGATTAGCAGGGGCCACATGTTCCTTAAAGCAGCGCTTGCTTCTGGAAGGCCTACACCTTCAAGTATTGACAAAGTCACCGAAAAGCACCCCCCCCCCCCTCCTCCCCCAATGAGAGTGATGCAGGAGATCCCTGCTCTCTCATCGTATTCCCCCTTTCGGTTCTCTCTGTCCTCTATGTCACTCGCACGGGCGACAGAGATTGACAACGCACACAGCACAGTACTCGTACTATGACCGCGAAAATGCTGCACGCTGCACGCTGCAGTAGCCTGGCGCCTGCATTGCGTTTCCAGCTTCAATGGATCGGTTTTATTGCGACCTGGACACGGCCGTCGGATGCTGTGGGATACGGCCATCCAAAAACAGCGCCTAGCTGTCTTACCGCAGAGATCCTCCAACACGTCGTGGCGATTCGCAGAGCATTGAGAGCTGTAACGAGTGTATAGACACTAGCAATTACTTCCTCGCTCTTCACCAGTAGAGTGAGTGTTAGCCCCGCGCTATGAGGTATTATCACTGTTGATCACTTCACTTTCTTTAGCCGCTACTGTAGTTACTCAGGAGCTCCAACAAAAAAAGAACGCGATGGGATTTTGACATTGGCAGTGATGGACTTCTGTGAAAATCCAGCCTCGGCCGCTGGACAGTATCTTCCATCAGAGAGACGAAGGCCGGTGGGGTTCGCTCGTCCACGAGTCTTGAGGACCCGTCGTTCTCGTCAATCTTCTCAGAAATTGGCATAGCGCCAGGAGCTGCCCAGGCCACGCCTTGTGAGCCTACGCTTAGTACACTAGGCTAGAAGGCTGAGAATGATGATTGCGGGCTCGGTCCAGGGACAGATGACCCACGCCGTTGGGATTTGGCTCATAGCGCCAAGTTATCAATCAGCTCACTGTATGTGAGTCTAGACAGAATTATCTAAGCAGGCAGGATCGATCTCAATGTTAGGACACGAGCTCTTCAGATACTGCTCTGTATCTTGGCTCGTCCTCTCACGAGCATCGAGACTAACATGACTTGTCAAGCATGTCAATCAGCCTGTCAGAAGACTGCCGTACCAGGAACCAAGCACAGTGCAAATGCCGTGCATCACTTGGACAGTTCATCTTGACGTCAAACTCAAACATCTCGGTGAGGTCTGCACAATCTAGAGCTGCCAACACATCAGACATGTGATCCTTCAACAAGTTTCTCAGGTGAAGTTGTCCAAACTATCTCGCCACCCAAAGCAGCCATAATCTAAATTCCTGATATGGTTCTCGGGCGGCCAAGGCAAGCGTTGACATAAGTGGGCATAAGTGCACCATCGCCTATCGCACTTATGCGCGGCCATGCACAATATCGCAAACCCTCCAACGCTGAGTGGCCGCGTCCCCTTCCGGGCCAACGTTGAACGGGCAAGGCTCGTCTCCTGACGCACAGCGCACAAGCAGTAGCAGCCGCACAAACGAGGGGGAGGCTGTGC